TCTAAAAATTAAAAATCTCCATTAGCACACTTTATATTCTAGATACCTTATGAATTTCGTCCCATAGAAGTATACTGTACTCCCTATCAAGGTTTGGGGGCCTGTAAATCACACCCAAGATTAACTTTTCACAGCCCATTAGGAGCTGTAATCAAACAGATTCAGTGGCTGATGCTTCTAATCTTATATCACGTCTAAGACAACAGTTTAAATTATCTCTGACATACTTTGCTACTCCGCCACCCTTCCTGTTGATCCTGTCAGTGTGGAATAATTTATAGCCTTGTATGTGACTTTTTTTTTTTTACACAGGGTTTGACAAGGTTAAGGATCCCTAACTTTATTGACAAGCTATTTACAGGTTAAGGATTCCTAACTTTATTGGCAAGCTAAGAGCTGTTACCTACATCAGCTCATTTGAAAGCATTTTTATTGTTATGAGACATACAAGTAGGAAACAGGATGAAGTTGGAGCCATCTGTGGGCCAGCATTTTCATTTGATCAACTGACTTTATCTTGTTGACATCATTATGCTGTACAAATGTGTTCGATACTCGAGTCATCCTGGGTATGTATGATCTCAGATGGAGTGATCGTTCTGGTGAAGGGTACAGCCAGAGGAAGTTGGCTTTCTGCCCGTCTTGTGCATAGAAGCTTGTTTTTTTTTTTCACGCTGTCTCGAAGTGGATCAAGTGTGGTTATTTTGACAATATTGGCCTTGTATTAACAGTAAGGCCACCCACATCCCTCTATGTTGATAGGCTCTTGATGAAATGACAGATCTATCCAGCGATGGGTCCAGGCGAGGAGATGAGACGTCTTGCCTGTTCTCTACTCTGTCAAGCAGTCGCAGATGAGAGGTGGGGGCAGGCAAACTCAAGGAAGGAGCTTACTCAAGTGTGAGCGTACTTGTGCCTCGTACAGGATCTTGCAACCCCTACTGTCAAGCAGATGCGAAGATACGGCGAAGTGCTGTAAGCTTCCTGGCTGCCTTGTTTGAAAGATTTTTACAACATGTTCTTTCATGGTTAGTTTGGAGTCAAATTTCACCCCAAGGATACAACTTCCTTTCTCCAGGTGCCAACCCCTCCCATTCATCTTACTACTGCCCCAGCATTACCATCATGGTGCCTAGAGGACGATCATCATTTGCGTTTTCTCAGTGTTGCAAATGTTACTTGCCATCTTATTTCCCCAAGCTGATACAGCTCTCAGCTGGTGATTGATGTAGCTTAGAGCAGCTGGGCATTTCTTTTTTTGATAGTGAATGTCCAGTGTACAGTCGTCCTGCATATGCATGGTGTTTCGGGATGAGATGAAGAAGGTCGTTGAAAGTAGACATTCCATAACATGGACCAGACACACTTCTTGTGAAAACACTTGCCCCCAATAGGATGTCATTGCTGATTCCGTTCCATTGAGAACTACACTTAGCAGATCTACCATGAAAAGGTATCACTGAGGAGACATAGCGCTAGATCCTGCAATTCCCAGTGCTTGAAGTTTTGCTAAGAGGCCCTGGTTGCCACACCCGGTCGAAAGCGCCAGCAATGTCCAGTGCTACCACACAGCTGACTTTGGGATTCATCCAGTTTGACTGTTGCCACTTAGTGGAGAGGTTTAACAACAGAGCAGCAGCTGTAGTAACTTTCCTGAAGCCTATATTGACGATCACAAAGTAGTGAGTGGAGTCAAAAAAACTCTGTTCATTTTGTCTTGAGATTTTTGTCTCAAGGATCTTACACGTGATGACACAAGAGTGACCGCTGGTCTGTAGTTGCTGATTTTTCTGTTCTGCTCTTCTTTTTGTGAACAGGGACTACATTTGACTCTTTCCATAGAGAGGGCATTTACACTGTAATAGGCAGTGCTGAAAGATGCGAGTTAGAGGTGCTGCTAGCTGGTCTGCACATTTCAACAATCTTGGGCTCAACTTGTCTGGCCCACAGCTTTTCTTGTCCGCGATTTAAGAAGGAAATGCATCCTCCTCTGCTTATTGTCGCCACTGAAGTTTTTGACACAGAGTTCTTGCAGCTAGCCAAGGAGGGACCCTTGCTGGATAGCGTTTTGGTAGCAAAGTGTTCAGCAAAGAGGTCCGCCTTCTCTTGACTACTAGTAGAGGTGGTCCCATCCTGTCGATTTAGAGGTGGAATAAGTTCATCAGGCAGATAACCTTGTCTGTCCTTGACCAGGGACCACCCGAAGTCTTGTCTCTATCTTTCACACTGAGCCAGGTCTCTGTTATAGAAATAACATCTATGCTTCCTGCACTTGCAATTAATATTTTCTCATCTATCTTATATCTTACACTCTTGCTATTATTATAGTAAACCTTAAGGGAGCTAGTCTCTCACTGCCTTCTGCTGTCTCCCTTTGCTGACCTGATCCATTGTCTCTATTTGTAATTTTATGATGAATGTCTTTTAAACATTTAGTGTTTTCAACCCTAGCATTGCAACTTGACTGTTTTCCACACACACCCATACCTCTATCTTCTATCAGTTTAAAATCTTAGATATGTCAGCAATGGTCCTGCCCCAGAAAGATGTACCTGATCCCTTGTATACATATCATGTTTGCCATAAAAGTTGTTCCAGTTGCCAATGAATGGAATTGCAAGTTCCTTGCAGTATCTGTCCAGTCAGCAATTTACACATTTGCCTTAGCTAACCATCATTGCCCACACCCAATTTAGCAAGAGCTTACATATGACTGGGGGTACCCTCCCTTAGCCCTAACTAAAATCCCAAGCTGCACCTGTACTCTTATCTAGCAGCTCTTTTCTCCTATCCTTCCAACATTTTTTTAATTTCCACCAGCACTGTAAAAACAGATAATGGGTTGTTCCCATTACTGCCATATTATCCAACCGTTGACTATGTCCCAACACCAGCCCCAGTGAGTGATGCACACTCTTTCACCTTCTTATTCTTATTTACACGAAAGCACAGTCCATATATTTTAGCTGTGAGTCACCAACAACAAGAATTTACTTACCTCTATTAGCAGGGGAAGTAGTACCTTTACCTTCACTGGCTACTGAAGTACACTCATCTGAGAACAGAGAAGTGATTTCTACCTTCAATGGAAACAACATTCCTGTCCCTCTATGCAAGGGCTTGTCAGGTCCCTATTTCAGTTTCATCACTTTCTTGTGGAATTGTTTGGTTTCACAAGCAAATTGCAGGAGTTACTCCACTGACACCACTGCCCTGTCGCTCTTACCTTATCTTCCCTTCTTACAGATGGCTCTGCCTTTGACTTACAAATCACTTTTTAATTTTTGTCAGCAGCAGCTGGCTTTACTATACAAACTTTGACAAATAGCCCTTTGTGTCTCTTCCAGCCCTTTTCTCCCCTCACCTCTGATCCCCTCTCCACCTAGCTGTTTATATATCCCTGGCACTATTTTCTGCCCTTCAGCACAGCATGACCCTTGTCAGTTTAAGCTTTATTTGAGTATAATATTACTCCATTGTTCCATTTGATCAAGCTTATAGCAGTTTCATTAAAACTCCTTTTCTTCTACCCAAATAAAGTGATGAGGGAAATTGGTTAATTTGCCAATTTCATACAAAATTCAAGAAAGGCCAATATTTCAAAATTGGGCCTATAATAAACAAAGCTCTCATACCTAGCACTAAAATAGCATTTTGTTTGTTCATTAGTCATGTCTCCAGGCCACTTTTATATTATGTTTGCTTTCCATATTGAATTTTTATTTACACAAAAAAATATAAAATTTATTGTTATGCAAACTACTGCATTATTGTAAAAAATAATATAAATAATATCAGTGCATTTGTGAAAGCATATTAGTCCCACCAGTTGATGTGTATTGGATGTGTGACGTGATTTGTTTATTCCTGAACATCGTCAAAACTCGAACACTTCCAGTAATTTGAGCTCACTTTCAAGCTACTTTTTGTCTGTTAACAATTCAAAAATCGTCTCTATTTCTGTAATATGTCTCCCATTCTTTCAAATGACATGAAGAAAAATGAGAATACAACCATAAATCTTTTCTTTCAACAAACCGGCCGTATCCCACTGAGGCAGGGTGGCCCAAAAAGAAAAACGAAAGATTCTCTTTTTAAATTTAGTAATTTATACAGGAGAAGGGGTTACTAGCCCTTTGCTCCCAGCATTTTAGTCGCCTCTTACAACACGCATGGCTTACAGAGGAAGAATTCTGTTCCACTTCCTCATGGAGATAAGAGGAAATAAACAAGACAAGAACTAGAAAGAAAATAGAAAACCCAGGGGGGTGTGTATATATATGCTTGTACATGTATGTGTAGTGTGGCCTAAGTGTAAGAAGAAGTAGAGCAAGATGTACCTGAACTCTTGCATGTTTATGAGACAGAAAAAACACACCAGCAATCCTACCATCATGTAAAACATTTACAGGTTTCAGTTTTACACTCACTTGGCAGGACAGTAGTACCTCCCTGGGCGGTTGATGTCTGCCAACCTACTACCTAGGAGAATACAGCCATAAATACCATACAAAAATACACTGCAAATTTGCTGTTTTAAACCAAAACATGGTCCCAGTTTTTTTCTCATGCACCTAGTGCTGTAGGATTTTTTCTTTATGCTATGCATACTGACCAATCAGACCCATTCTCTCATATGTAGGCCTACCAGTTATCTCCTGCAAGACTGGAAGCCACTATAATTTTGGAGTAGTATTACAGGATCAACACTGGTTTCTAAGCCCTAATACTGTATCATGGGACTGACAGTGAATGGGTTAAAAGTGACAATTTTATTTAGTGAAACATGTGATAATAGAAAAAAATATTTTCTTGTTCTGTATGTTGTGTTGGTAATTGTGAAATATTGTACTATTCTGACTCGGGTTTTTATTGCAGAAGTATTTTGTGGAAGACTACCAGGTTGTGTCTGGCCAGACACTATATCTTCAGTACTTCATGAAGCTACCAGTTGTAAGTGTCTTGAACAACCTGATATTGCAGAGTATTTGTTGGAAGACTACCAGGTTGTGTCTTGCCAGACACTATATCTTCAGTACTTCAAGAAGCACCAGTGTAAGTGTCTTGAACAACAACTGATATTGCTGAAGTATTTTGTGGAAGACTACCGGGTTGTGTCTTGCCAGACACTATATCTTCAGTACTTCAAGAAGCACCAGTGTGTCTTGAACAGCAACTGCAGGTTGTGTCTTGCCAGACACTATATCTTCAGTACTTCAAGAAGCACCAGTGTGTCTTGAACAACCACTGCAGGTTGTATCTTGCCAGACACTATATCTTCAGTACTTCAAGAAACACCAGTGTGTCTTGAACAACAACTGGAGGTTGTGTCTTGCCAGACACTATATCTTCAGTACTTCAAGAAGCACCAGTGTGTCTTGAACAGACAACTGCAGGTTGTGTCTTGCCAGACACTATATCTTCAGTACTTCAAGAAGCACCAGTGTGTCTTGAACAACAACTGCAGGTTGTGTCTTGCCAGACACTATATCTTCAGTACTTCAAGAAGCACCAGGGGTTCCAGTGTGTCTTGAACAACAACTGCAGGTTGTGTCCTGCCAGACACTGTATCTTCAGTACTTCAAGGCAACACCTGTTATTCTTGTGAATTTGTGACTTGCCAAGTATTGCTAATTAAACAATTTTGTTTTTGATATTGGGAATTCTATCTAAATATCCATTGCAGTTAATACATCAATACAAGTTACTAAAACTGTAATAATTTTCAGAAAAATCTATTTAATGAACACAAAAGAAAATAATAATACAAATGTTGTTGAGTGTATCTGCAGTGTTCTAGTACATATATTAATCTTGTGACACAAAATAAAAATTATAATAGTCTTTTAACACACAATATAAACTTTATTGTTGCTCATAAGTAGAAAAAGTTTTCCTGAATATATCTTAACATGGGAATATGTTCATAAGAAAAACTGTGCTCAGTGTCCTAAATAATTAAAAAAATTCTTGAAATAGACATGTGAGTACATAAGGAAGGTTAACTATACCACTGTTGTATGACTAAAATATTTTAAATGAAATATCTTTATTTAAAAAGTATGGAGAAAGATAAAGAACATAAACCATATCAATGTTCAGAGTGTTTGAAATGTTTTAGTCTGAAAAGTAGTCTTGTGAGACATATGAGAGTACATACAGGAGATAAACCATATCAATGCTCAGAGTGTCTGAAATGTTTTACTAGAAAATACAGTCTTGTGGCACATGTAAGAATACATAATGGAGATAAACCATATCAGTGTTCAGAGTGTCTGAAATGTTTTAGTGTAAGAGGCAAGCTTGTGAGACATATGAGAGTACATACTGGAGATAAACCATATCAATGTTCAGAGTGTCTGAAATGTTTCACTGAAAAAAGAAATCTTGTGGCACATATGAGAGTACATACAGGAGATAAACCATATCAATGTTCAGAGTGTCTGAAATGTTTTACTGAAAAAAGAAGTCTTGTGACTCATATGAGAGTACATACAGGAGATAAACCATATCAATGTTCAGAGTGTCTGAAATGTTTTACTGAAAAAGTCGACCAATGAGAGACATACAGGAGATAAGCCATATCATTTCAGAGTGTCGAAATGTTTATGAAAAAAGAAGTCTTGTGACTCATATGAGAGTACATACAGGAGATAAACCATATCAATGTTCAGAGTGTCTTAAATGTTTTAGTCATAAAAGCAATCTTGTGTCACATATTAGAGTACATACAGGAGATAAACCATATCAGTGTTCAGAGTGTTTGAAATGTTTTAGTGTAAAAGGCAATCTTTTGACACATATGAGAGTACATACAGGAGATAAACCATATGAATGTTCAGAGTGTCTGAAATGTTTTACTGAAAAAAGAAATCTTGTGACTCATATGAGAGTACATACAGGAGATAAACCATATCAATGTTCAGAGTGTCTTAAATGTTTTAGTCATAAAAGCCTTCTTGTGTCACATATTAGAGTACATACAGGAGATAAACCATATCAGTGTTCAGAGTGTTTGAAATGTTTTAGTGTAAAAGGCAATCTTTTGAGACATATGAGAGTACATACAGGAGATAAACCATATGAATGTTCAGAGTGTCTGAAATGTTTTACTGAAAAAAGAAATCTTGTGACTCATATGAGAGTACATACAGGAGATAAACCATATCAATGTTCAGATTGTCTTAAATGTTTTAGTCAAAAAAGCCATCTTGTGTCACATATGAGAGTACATACAGGAGATAAACCATATCAATGTTCAGATGTCTAAAAATTTTTTACTAAAAAAAAGAAGTCTTGTGACTCATATGGAGTACATACAGGAGATAAACCATAAAAATGTTAAGGTCTGAAATGTTTATAAAAAAAAGAAGTCTTGTGACTCAAGAGAGTACTACAGGAGTAAACCTTTCAGTGTTCAGAGTGTCTAAAAATTTTTTTAGTCAAAAAATCCATTTGTGTCACATTGAAGTCATACAGGAGATAAACCATATCAGTTTTCAGAGTGTCTGAATTTTTCATAAAAAAAGAAGTTTGTGACTTTTTGAGATACATACAGGAGATAAACCCCCATCAGGCTTGAGTTCTGAAAGCTTTTGTAAAAAAAAGCAGTCTTGGGACTGCCGAGAAAAAACAGGAGATAAAAATGTTGTTTTTAATTTTAAGAAATATTTTAGTTATAAACTCTCAGAATACATAAAAGTGATTACAAAAACAGTTTTGAGAGTAAAATTTTAAAATAAAATATGTCATAAAATCATATAATTTTCTTTAAGGAGAAAATTTGTTTTAATTTTCAGAATTTTTGATATTATGTAAAAAGATCAGTCGTACTCGAGGCTAATATACCGGGAGTTTCCGGGAGAGATTTCCCGGGGGGGCAACGCCCCGCGGCCCGGTCTTGCCGGGCCCTCCGGTGGATAGAGTGATAAACCTGCTGTTTACTGCTGCTGCACAAAAACCAACGTACGGCCCAGCCCGGTGATCGGAAACCACTTTGGGTTTTTCCAGTGCCAGCTTGAGATCCCAGGGGTCTGTTGGTAATCCCCCTTAAGTATGCTGGGAGGCGTTGAACAGTTCGGGCCCTGACCTTTTGTATGGTCTCTTAAAAGTGCTAGTGACAACCCTGCTTTTCTTGGGGGGATGTTCAACGTCTCCCAAGTCTTTTGCTTTTGTAGTGAGTGTTTCGGTTGCAAGTTGGTCTAGCCCCCTAGGATTTTCCCGGTGTATATAAACGATTCTCCCGGCCCCCTTTTCCCGGGGTACAGGTTCAGGAACCCCAAGCGCTCCCAAATAATTGAGGTGTTTTATCTCCGTTTGCCCTGTGAAAGGTTCTCTGTAAATTTTCTAGGAAGCAATTTCACCTGCCTTAAAAAGGTGCTGTTAGTGTGCGTAAAATTCTAGCCCAGATAGAACAAGTGACCTGAAAGGTCATCATGGGGGTTTGCCTCCCTAGTTTTGAAGGTTTATTATCCATCCCGCCTTTTTCAGAGATGCGATTGATCAATGTTTTGGGTTTGAAGGTGAATCCCCGACATGACATCCTGGTCTTTTACTTGGGTTTCGCTCTATTTGTGACCAGAATTTGTTTTGTACTCTGATGAAGATTTTTAAATTTTCCCCATGTTTACCAAAACTGAGTAATTGAAATTTCTCATCGTTAAATCATGTTGTTTTTTTGCAGCCCCCGAAAGATTTGGTTGTGTCCGCCTGGAGCCCTTTCAGTGTCTGCAATTTGGGAAAACTGTCATGCGATTCGGGTTCATCTGCAAAGGAAGACACGGGGCTTGGCGACATCCTTGTTATGTCAGATATGGGTGGGAACAAGATGGGAGCCGGGGACTGTGCCTTGTGGAACAGAGTTTTCACCGAGCTGCTCGGACTTTACTCTGTTGACTACTCTCCTGTGTTTGTTTGTGGGGGAAATTATAGATCCCTCGACCGACTTTTTTCCCGTTATCCCTTTTTCAGCATTTTGTGGCTATTTTCGATGGTCACCTTGTCGAAGGCTTTTGCAAAAATCTGTTTTATTACATCTGCATTCTTTTTGTCTTCTAGTGCTTTAGGGCCTTGTCGTAGTGATCCAAATGTTGAGACAGACAGGAGCGACCTGTTCTAAACCCATGTTGCCCTGGGTTGTGTAACTGATGGGTTTCTAGATGGGTGGTGATCTTGCTTCTTAGGACCCTTTCAAAGATTTTTATGATATGGGATGTTAGTGCTATCGGTCTGTAGTTCTTTGCTGTTGCTTTACTGCCCCCTTTGTGGAGTGAGGCTATGTCTGTTTTTTTAGTAACTGTGGAACGACCCCGTGTCCATGCTCCCTCTCCATAGGATGGTAAAGGCTCGTGATAGGGCTTCTTGCAGTTCTTGATGAACACGGAGTTCCATGAGTCTGGCCCTGGGACAGAGTGCATGGGCATGTCATTTATTCACCTGTTCGAAGTCATTTGGCTTCAGGATAACATCAGATAGGCTTGTGTTAACCAAGTTCTGTGGCTCTCTCATAAAAAATTCATTTTGATCTTCGACTCTCAGTCTGGTTAGCGGCTTGCTAAAAAACTGAGTCATATTGGGACTTGAGTAGCTCACTCATTTTCCTTGCTGTCATCTGTGTAGGACCCTTCTTGTTTAAGTAAGGGCCCATTACTGTGACGTTGTTCTCGACTTTGATTTGGCATAGGAGAAGAATTACTTTGGGTTCTCTTTCGATTATTTTCTTTTATGGCTTTTAGTTCTTCCGCCCCCCCTGCGATTCCTGACTCCTAAAAGATCCTTTAAGCTTAATTCGATGTTGCTATTTCCTCTGACCAGTGCTCCCTATGGCATTTCAGATAGATTGACCTCTTTTAGGCTGCTCTGTTTATTCCTTTTCTTTCCCGTCGCCTGTAAAAAAGGATCGCCTGTCCCTCTTTCTGATTTTACATCTACTCCTCCTTTTTCCTAGAGGAAATAAGTCCTTATGCATGCATCGTGCCACCAAGTTAATCTATTCTAGGCATAATGGGGTTCTGTGTTGCTTAGGCATATCTTCCCAGCTTTATCGGTTAGGACTGGTTTACTTGTCCCACTTAATGTTTTGTGTTATTGAAGTTGAATTTGGAGAATGCTCCCATCGTGGACCTAATCTCATTTTTTTTGTTCGTCTGGGCTCCACGCATACATTCTGAACCTCAATTATGTTTGTGATTCCTGATATATTGTTTTTTGATATGGTGAATTCTTATCAGATCAAACATTTTTAGTGAAGATGAGGTCCCCCCTAATGTATTCCTCACATTCTATAGCCTATTATTTGTCTGGTTTAAAATTGAAATTTTGTGGCATAGATTTAAAAAGCTCATGTGAGTGTGAGTTTTCATCAGAGCGCCTCCTGTGTTTATTACTGCAACATATTGCTATATTTCCTCCTATTTTATGTGCCTTAAGTTGAAATCCCCCAGGAGCAAGATTTGGGTGCAGGAGCAGAAAGATTTTCCAGACAGTTTGTTCACTGAATATTACACTACTCTCATATCACTGAATATTTCACTACCTGCTGGTCACTGAGAATATTTCACTATTATTGTTCACGGTGAATATTTCACTACTGTTGTTCACTTGAATATTTCAACTACTATTCATTCACGTGAATATTTCCACACTCTTGTTACACTGAAATATTTCACCTAATGTTGTTCACGGGAATATTTCACTATTGTTATTCACTGAATATTTTCACTATTGTTGTTCACTGAATATTTCACTACTTGTTGTTCTCTGAATATTTCACTTTTTCACTGCGAATTCTTGTTACTGCAGTAAGCAAATTACAGACTTGACCTAAAGTATTTTCCATATTTATTTTATTATTTATTATCACACCGGCCGATTCCCACCAAGGCAGGGTGGCCCGAAAAAGAAAAACTTTTGCAACCATCATTCACACCATCAACTGTCTTGCCAGAAGGGTGCTTTACACTACAGTTTTTAAACTGCAACATTAACACCCCTCCTTCAGAGTGGCAGGCACTGTACTTCCCATCTCCAGGACTCAAGTCAGGAACCGGCAGGCCGGACATGAGTCCTGGAGAGGGAAAAAACAGTCCCCCACTCTGAAAGGGGGGGTGTTAATGTTGCAGTTTTTTAAAAAGTAGTGAAAACCCTTCTGGCAAGACAGTGATGGAGTGAATGATGGTGAAAGTTTTTCTTTTTCGGGCCACCCTGCCTTGGTGGGAATCGGCCGGTGTGATAATAAATAATAAAATAAATATGGAAAATACTTTAAGGTCAAGTCTGTAATCTGCTTACTGCAGTAACCAAGAATTCTGCAGTGAAATATTCAGTGAACAACAGTAGTGAAATATTCAGTGAACAACAATAGTGAAATATTCAGTGAATAACAATAGTGAAATATTCCGTGAACAACAGTAGTGAAATATTC